AAAATATTTTTTTCTACCAATCGATAGCTTATGGAGTTCCCTAGAAATATTGTCTTGGGAGTTTTTGAATCTCATGCTTTCTTTATTTTCTGCAAACTTTCTACGAATGGGCCAAAAATGACGCAAGGGCGTGTAAAGGGTTAATCATTTTCGTCTTATCGCTACTAAAAGATGTTACCATAATGAGCATGCGAAAATATGTGCCTATACTTCACATTTTCTGTCTCTTTCTCTCTCTCTCTCTTACTCTATTTTTCTGTCTTTTCTCTTACATGTGGCAAAACATACCTTTTCTTTCTTACCAGACTTAATTAAGAAAATAAATAGAGAGATTCACGTGACCACTTCAGAAAAAAAGAAGCGTGAGTTAAAACCTGTATTCAGAAAAATCCACATGTTTTTCTTACAAAGGAAAACTGTGCAAACAGTAGGGCTAGAAAGCTGAAACTTTCTGTGATAATAGTGAATATCTGGCACAGTCACAGAAAAAATTTCACCTCTTAATGAATTATAAAAAAAGGTTTATAATTCTTGAAAGAAGTACCATGGTAGAAATCCTTTTAAGGTTTTTACTAATTCACTATGCTCTATCAATCGACATATAAATCATTGGAAACGGAGTTGCGCATCTGGCGAGCGTCCCTCATAAGGAGAGTCAAAAACTGATTAAAAATTTTAAAACCAGTGCAGCTATCATCTTAAGAATTTTAATACTATTATTAAAATTAATAAATATAAATATATATAAATATTAATATTATTTATTAAAATTCTTAACATGATAGCTGCACTGGTTTTAAAATTTTTATTCTTAACTTTGCCCATAAACTCGAAAAACGTTATCAAAAACTGATTGTATTACTATTCATATTCGTATAGTAAAGTAGGTTGTACTGGTTTCCAGATAATTTGTCTTGCTAATTTTGACGTAATTGTTCATAGATTTCACTATTACGTCTGTCAGTGTTTTCAATAGTAGTTTTGGTGGGCGAGTGGCGAGCCAGCTGACTAACTAAAGTTTTTTTATTGAGTAATACATTTTTTGACTAAAAGCTTTTTTCTGAGTAACTGAGTTACTCAGAAGCTAGAGAAAATCACTTACTCAGGTGAATAAAAGACAGTTTCTCAACTTAAATTTCTTAAAAAATTTGAATTAATCAAAATTGTTTGAGTAACTGTATCGAAACGAGAGGGTGGTTTGCCACCCCCTTTAACCCCCTAATCAATAACGCTGACGTCTGTCTATGACAGAAACGTTAAACGTTTTAAATTCAATTTCAAACAAGAGCTAGAGTATTTATCCGAATGATAATGTCATATACACACTTCAGTATCAAGTTCATTATTCATTCAAGTCTGTAATTGGACGTAACTGTTTTTCATCAAGTTTTTATTAAACAGTAAACGTAATGTACATAAATTAAATTGAACAATCTTATCATTACTGGACGTTTTTTTTTTCCCCTTATATATTATACCTGTTCTTGCTCAAGTGTTGTTTTTGTAAAATGACGATGAGAAGAAGAAAAAAAAAGTATTAAACAGCAACAGTAGCATTTTTTAATATTGACATTTTAAACACAGTCAATAGTATTTAAAAAGAGAAAGAAAATTTTTTTTATAACATTTATATATAATAAAAGAGACATAATCGAGCAAATAAAAATGTAAATAATCGTTCATTTTTTTCATTGTTTTATGTTGAATATATTATAAACAATGATGTTTCTTTCTGGTATCTTTTATTTATTTCTGAATCATAACGTTAAAGTATACGTTCAATGTCGATTAACTCAGTCAAGGTTCAATTTATAACAGTCTTAAATAAAGTGAAGTATTGACAGAATAAACGGCATGTAAATAGATTTTCAATGAGACCTTGGTACCATCATTATAAGATTCAAGTATTGATCTTAAAATATTTTTTTTTTTTGCTTTGTTTTAAATGTACGATTCTATATGTACAAAATGTGTAGGTCAATTTACGAGGGGAAATATTTGATGTATACGGATTTACTTCATTAGTCCAAATAAGAGAGAACGTCTTTTTCAATGACTAATTGACAAAAATGAGTATAGTCTCTATTTATTTCAATACTGACTTCTCATTATTTCTCTTTTGTTTTACAAAAAAAAAAATTTTAAAATCTTACAAGATCTCTTGTAAGATAGTAGAAAGATAGTTGTACATCAGAACAAATTAGCTGCACTGCGCGAGATCAATCTCATTGTATATCTGAATTTTTGTAAGAGATGCCTGCTGTTTTGATTGTTTTGTTAAAATAAGTGCAAAGGTCAATTAGGGAAGTCAAAGGTCGAATACTGTTTGGACAGTGTAGCGAACGAATTTAAGAAAAAAAAAACGTTTTTCTATAAATGTTTACTTTTAAAATCAATTGCTCATATTCACTGATAATTTATTTATCACAACTACACTTGAAATGTTCTGTAATTTCATTCACACTTACTCACTCTTGATATCTGAAATTTCCTAAATTTTATCGTAAATTTGATTTGTCTCCGATTATTAATTCTACAGTTCATGTTCTTGACACAGAAAACAATTGACCTCATCCTTCATATTGACAGTTCTTCAATTATTTATTTAGATCACTATGGATTTTTTTTTTCTCTAATTTTTATTCAAAATCGAAGATCTAACAGACGCTGTATAAAACTTACAATTCCGTTTAATTCGTTCGCTATGCTACCCAAATGCTATGCTGTTGGATTAGAAACATACTCGTGTAGTGAAAGTCATACTGTCAATGAGAAAAATCACCAGTCTAGCGTCTCTTACTTCAATTGTGAACAAAATTTCTATGGTCTCTGACTATTTTCACTCTCAAAAATAGTAAGAATGTTTTAAAATGAAAGAACTGACATTCCTTTTTTTCTAGTTACAAATAGAAAATATCTTAGAAAATATTTTCAGAAATTTGCTTGTACTCCCTTATGTATGTGTTCGACCATTAAATCAGTTTTTTAAATCAAAACAATAGATCCACAGGGTATGTTGATTCGAATTTTTAAGAGATTTTAATGGTTAATAAATAAATTCGAAGGGACAATGTAAAATGATTGTTTTTTTTAGCAAATAATCGTGACACTAATCGCAAAATAATAAAATGACGATACATAGCATATAAATTTGTATTTCATAAATAAACAATTGTCTAATATAATTTGACTCAATTTCATTTTTTTTTTTTTTTTTTTTTTTTTTTTATTTTTATTTTAGTTTTAATTTTTGGGAAAATAAAAAAAAAAAAAAAGTGGATAAATTGTGGTTTTTTTTTG